CCGATTGTTGAGCGCGTCGATGTGGGTAGAAGAAGTAGGTGGCACCCTGCTCGCCCCGACCTGTGTGTCTGCGCTAAGTGTGAGGCGATCGGCATATCGCTGGGAATTGTGGCGTAGTCATTCCCTCAACCTCCTAGTTTTCGATCATCTCTAAAATCGGCGGGTTCGTAGAGTATAGCGTGATAGAGGAGCACTAGGTTCCGCCTGCCGCCGGTTTGCGAACTGGATAAAGCTGAGGCCGCTCTTTCAGTAGCCCCAGGATACAAAAAAAAAAGAAACAATTTCTGAAATCTCCAAATCCAAATCCAAAATCGAGACTTGTTTCATGCAAGAAGAGTTAGCTGTTGTATCACTTTTTGCAGCCATATGTAGGTAGCGATTCTTTCAACGGTCGAAGAAAACGAAAACGCAAACAAAATGTCATCTGACGGATCGACGCTCGCATCGCAGGTCAGGGAGGCAACAAGACTTGCGCTCGAAGAGGAGGATTTGAAGGGGGGCTCAGGCATTTTGCGATCCCTAGTCAAAGAGAAGAAGATTTCCGCTACCCAGCAGCGCCAAATCCTAGCTGCTTGGGCCGATGGCAACGGCGTGACATTTTCATCAGCAGGACATGTAGTCGTGTCTCCAGCTGAGGAAGTGCTTGGAACGGCTGGTGGTGCTTCCTCTAGTACCGCTTTGGCTCTTGCGGGAGACCACGTCAAGAATCAATCTGAAGCAGATGCTAGTAAAGCTAGTGATCTACTTGTAGTAGGAACAACCGCAGCTGCATGTTCTTCTGGTGGCGGGCAAGGTGGTACAGTGCTTCCCTGTGAAGCGGAAGCACCCTCTCGTCCTCTCACTGAGGCTGAAATAGCCAAACGAGAACGCGATCTGTTCGAGCAAGAGTTGCTTCTCGACGCACAGGAGATGACGAAAGAACAAAAGCAGAGACGCAAAGTGGAGAAGGAAAAGCTGGTGTCTGAGGTCATGCGGAAACAGAAGAAATCACGCAGAGAAGCGATGGAATATATTACGCAAGGAGGTCAACTATTAGACCTACGTATGTTGTTTTATGTGAAATATGTCTTTATTTACATTTTTCCCATTGTTCCCTATCTGGAATCATGTTAATCTTAATATCAATCAAGCAAGAAATATTTATCCAAGAACTACAACATTCTCACTCTCCCTAGGTTTAGACGCCGAAAAGATGCAGGGTGAGATGGGTGCGCCCAACGATGCCTACTGGGATGAAGTATTAAAGAAAGGACCACCTGAGTGGTTTGAAAAAGCTTTTGCCGAATATGAGGCGAAAATGGAGGTTGAGAAGGAAGGAAAGGGGATAGAGGGGGAAGGATCTGGAGATGGTGTTCAGGGAGAGGGGCTGGAAGTCGCATTGACGAATTAGAGAGGACCAAATTCAGACGCATTACGTCTTATCCGTTTTTTACGACCGAACTCGCGACCGATGTGGTCTTCGATCTTCTCTACGATGATAATTTGGGCATTTCTTTTTAACACAGGAACACAGCAGGATCGCTCGTCAAGAAAACCTTCTCGGCCTCAAACCTTACACACGCACTGGTCCAAAGAATCGATTGATTCAAGTGTTCGTTTTTTATCTATTTCGAGATGCTTTTACTCCTTTTTACCATGATATGAGAAAACGAAGAAATGGCCGGGCTTTTGTTGAGTTTGCTTGCAAATAGTTGCAAATAGCTCGAAGTAAGCTTTTTTTCTCATGTATCGCACGACACTGCAAATCGGAGCTACTTTATTCATGTGCAAAAAATACAAAAAAACAAGGTGGTAGGTGTTTCCTTGGTGCAAAGAAAAAAAGAAGTCATGATAGACAATGTAACACAACAAGAATGGCTTAGCTAATTTCTTACAAGAAGACGAAATCTAAAGACGAGCAAAGCCAATACAATGATGTCAACTCATCCGGAGCCTGACGAAACGGAGACAGATGAGCCCACGCCTGCCTCACCCGATTTCTTTCTCGAGTCTCCGAGGAAGGTCGATCTCGGTAGTCAACGAGTCAATGGCGACGTCGATGGCTTCGTGTCTGTGGCGGCTGATCGTGATAAGCACAGGTTTTCTCTGACCACAGATGTCGGGTCGAGTCTGGACACGGCAAGTGGAGGTGAGCAGCCAGTATTCGACGTGTCTCCAACAAGAAGTAGGATCATGGCTTCAAATAGCTCTGCAACTTCTCAGCAGAAGATGAACTTTGCGACACTCCTCGAGAGTCCGCCAGGGCCGATCGTTCGACGTTCGAAGTCGTTTCATGATGAGCGAGACCGCGGTTTGATGACCAAGGTCGTGACGAATATTAACACTAGTAGTGTAGGGGATCCATCTCTCCTAGAATCTCGAGTTAGCTTGCTAGAGATCAACCTCGCTAGAAAACGAGACACATTAAACACTGTTCTCGCCAGAGCTAAGCGGCACTTCTTGCAGTTGGTTTTTCGCGGTTGGAGCACCTTGGTCCGGACAGCGAAGAAGTCGAACGAAGTACGCAAATGCAAAGAACAACTAAAAACAGTACGTCTCGAGAATTTGGTTGGGAGATTCACATCATTAGTGCAGCAAAAAGTGAACCTGTTGAAGCAAGCGGCACTTGTGGAGTTGAGAACACATCGAGACTTTGTCTCTTTCGGACAAATCGTGGCTTCGAGGATTCAAGCAGAAAGTTCGTCGCATCAACGCGAAACTGATGATCTGCGTTGCGCTTTTGAGCAGCTGAAAGTGGGGGCGCAGGAAGCAGTTGCCACAAGATCCACGAAGTTGGAAGAGTTATGGATTTGAAGTCTTTTTTTCTACTCTAGTTTGTTTCAGGGTAAGTAGGTAATCTGTGACTGCTGTCACTCACAATCTTTGCTCTAAAGCCCGTCCAAAAGGAGTTTGCTGCTTATCGCGAAACTGCAGCCACAGAAATCGCTCTGAGCCGCACTGAGAAGGACCACTTACAAAAGGACCTTTCCGCTTTACAGCACAGAATACGAGAGCGCGAAGCAGAGTACGAAAAGGTGAGAAAAGCCGCGGAGAAAAGAATTCAGAATCTACAAGCAGAGTTAGAGGCGCGAACTTCGGAGTTTGCACAACAGCAGACGACACTTGCGGAGCTACGTGCCACAGCAGATAGTGTCTTTTTAAGGCTAGATCGTCCTAGGACTGAACTAGGATCTTTTTCTTCAGGACAGACATTGCCTACTGGTGTGCAATGTCTAACTATCGTGAATGAGACGCTTCCACTGGCGTACAAGGGAAGTGAAATCAAGGAGAAAAAGAGCAACAGTCTCATCCGCAGATAGTGACAGTTTCTAGCGTTAATCTCTCCGCGTCTGGAACAGAGAATCCGTGAGCTCACTGATGCGCGGGCTCAAGACCTCTCCAGGTTCGCTGAAGTCGAGCGACAGCGTGACTCCGAAAAAGAAGCATTACAACGCGAATCAAGAAAGCGGGAAAGCAGGTTACAAGAAGGGTTACGAGAAGCGGAGGACCGACTGAAAGAGGCAGTGAAGTTAAAGGAAGCAGAGCGAATGAAAAGTGAATGTTAAGATAACAAACCACTCTGGGTGCTTTTTGTTTACAAATTCTTACGGCTTCCCCTAATCCATCTTCCGAAGCATCTTAGCGACGTTTTCAAGGGGAAAGCAGTTTCAGGATGGACTTGGGGATGGATTAGGGTGAGCTCTAATTATAAATTCAGTACATGTAGTACTGTGATCTTGACTATGGCTATGCTGCAGAAGTTCGTTTTTCCTTAATTCAGTCCAACGTAGTAGCAGTTGTTCCAATAGAGGATGGGGATACTTAATTGCATTTTTTGTTCCCAGCTCGAACTCAGAGGACTCAAACTCAAACTCCATCTTCTAATACCTCACTCTCGAGCAGCGAGTTCGAGAACTGGAGGAAGAGGTTGCACGAAGAAGGCAAGAAACGACACGTGCTAGACACGAAACGACGCTGCTAGACGAGGAAAAGACTGCAGAAATTTCTCGGATGAAGCGAGAACACAGTCTAGTTCTGGATAAGCTCACTGCGAAAGTTCAGGGATATGCAGATGCAACAGAGGAGGAGAGGATAAAGTGGGTAATGAATTTCTAGAGGATAAAGTAACTGGAGCAAAGCTTTCTTTTTTAGAACGAGATGAGAAGATGTTTATTTAGTTTTAGCTTGCGCTTCTACACAACCTACCAAAGAACATGGTAGACAGTTTGCGTCTCAATCAAATAAAACCAGGCCCGCGAGCGTGAAGACTATGAGCACAAGGTGTCCAACCTTTCGCGGAGTATCGAAGATCTTGAGAACAGCAACAGGGAGTTGAAGGACGAACTTGCGCAGAAGCAAAAGGAGGTGGAACAGCAAATACAGCAGAGGAGTGAAGCGCTAGACGTCGAAATAAAGCAGCAACATCTAGAACGAACCAGAATGTTCGAGACGGAGCTGGAACTTGCTTTACAGCAGCAGCGCAGTGAATTGGAGGAAGCTTTCGCAACCCGGGCAATAGATGCGCAAAAGCACTTCCGTCGACAAAGCAGTGAACAACTAGCGAAGCTCTTAGCCGAGCACGGTCAGGCGGTCGACTCTTGGCAGCAGCAACAGGAGTCACTACAGGAACAGCTAGTGTCTCAAAAAGAACAATGCTCAAGGTTCGAGAAGGTGGCTCATGAGCGTGGAGATGTGCTGTTGAAAGTAGAGGAAATATTGATGAAAGAAGAGAGAACGCAAAATAATGGAACAGCGACAAATAGTGTTACAGCTACAATTAAGGCTCAGCTTTCAATGGTCATTGGGGTTGGTCACTGAGATCGAAGAGGCGACCCCTTGAGAGAACCAACAGGGGAAATATACGAAGGGAAAGGGGAGAGCTTTGAAGGGGGTCGCTTCCGTTCCGCATCAGTGAGCATTGAATTCTGAGCTTTAATACAAATAATCCTAATAATGTTAATGGCACAAGAGCCGAGGCTTCTTCTTCTTCTTCTTCTTCATCGATTTCATCCTCTTCCTGTTCCTCCCATCCACGACATGAAGCTGCTGAAATGAGTGGGTCGGGCGGTCTAGGTGTATGTTTATCTTCGACATCTTCACCTCTACCAGAAGATTCTTCTTCAAGAAACGAGCAAGGAGAGGAATCCTGTGAAACAACGATGGCGGCAGCTGCATCTTCAGACCAAGGCCAAGCATGTGCATCAACCTCGTCTTCGTCCTCTTCATCTTCACCATCATCTCCTGACTCCGACCCAAGAGTAAAGCACTATGCAGACTTACCATTACGCATAGGAAATCTGTTGCAGTCAATGCGTGCTCAGGCAGAAGCTGACTGGTCAGCTGGGGCTGAGCTGGATGCATACGAAGCCTTAGTAGCACAAATGCAAGAAAAGATTATTGCCCAAAGTCGTGAGCTAAAGAGTATCGCAGACGAAAGAGACATGCTTGTGCGTGCGGCAGTTACTAGAAGTAGAACATGATGTAGTATTTTTACCTTGAAGATAAACTGTTAAAAAACAAGAAAGGTTCTTGTTGAGCAGTGAATCTACCTAAGAAACTCAGAGCGAACTACCCGCCAAGAAGAACATAATTATATTATTCCTATGCTGGTGTTCATTTTTACTCGCAGATCTTCGCAGTACGCAAATGGATTCATACTTTCTGGAGTCGGGGCCGGGTTTTTGCCCCGCGGTGTTGCGGGGTGAGTGAGGAGTTCTTGCCGGGTTGGGTTTGTAGCCGGCTTGCGGCTTAAGGATGCGGCGGCGACATAGAGGAAAATGTGGGGGGGGGTTGTAGCGTTGGGCTTGGTTTCACACTGGTGTGCTAGAAAAAACCGAGAAATGTAAAGAAGTGAATCCGTATCCGTCCTCCCATCTCTTTAGATCTTCGCAGGACGCAAATGGATTCATACTTTCTGAAGTAAGAGAACGAGGGAAGAAGTGTGTCATGAACATGACAATAACAATGAAAATGAGGTGGGTATGAAGCAAAAGCAGCTGTGTACTTTGTCGATGAGAGAACTACGTCGAAGCAGTGAGTCGGACTCACCCCTCGGTCGTGGGAGACGTAGTTCAGCTGCTGCTGTCTGTACTAGTATTGCTACTGTTGACTGAGTACATAAGCGGTCGAGGAGTACTACTAGGGATGCCAATCAATCAATAGTTCTCCGAATCCGAAATAACAAGAAGGGGGATTATTTCCATGTACAGTAAAAGAACAAAAAAAGAGATTGACAAGAAGGGATCACCACTAGGAGAACCATCTTCGACGTCCACATCGAAGAGCTCGAAGATGAAACTTCTACCATCGTCCCGTAGTATTACGGGTGTAGGGAATTCATCTCCAAAGTCATCTGGAAGATTATAATATAAAGACAAGAGGAAAATCAAAATGGCGCCCAGATGATCCCCGAGATGAGTTCCCTACGCCTCTAATAGCAGTCGTCTATTGCGGAGCACTTTTTTCACTTGTGCTTCTTCAGGAGTATTGGCGGCAGAGCGGAAGGACCAAAACCAGCAAATCCATGTGGATGCTACAGCTAAGGTTAGCACTTATTAACCAGCTTTCTCGGCATCGTGGTACCCTTTTCCCTTGTATTTCGTGGGAAAGTTTGGGAGGAGATAAGAAGATGAGAAGCTTTGGCGCAATGTAACCGTCCTGCCAAGAAGATAAGAAGATGAATAAAAGCTGACTCTAACGCAGGTGTCGACGGAGATGAAAAGACTGGACGCCTCATGCGAAACGAAGCATCTGAATCTTCGGGATCGCTACATCATGAGTATGATTATGAAGGAAGAGGAAATCTTATATTCTAGGGTCTAGTAGGGCTAGTTTTAGTCTTCATCTAAGTAATTGATCGTTGTTTTCTCGTCCTCTCTCATTTCATGATCCAGTTTTTTAGGATGAGGATCGATACGACGAGACCTTGAACTTTAATATGTTCGTTGGAGAAGGATAGTTGTAACTGGTACTACAACGACTACGAGGTTTATTTGAAGAGTCTGCTGTGGTCCACGTTTGTCCACGTTTTCTTTTTCTACGACCACTTCATCAACATCTCAATGATGTTCCTTATGCACCATCGTGGAACATGAACTTTACATCAAACACTTCCAAAAACCACAAGAGAAACAGGAAGAGGCTACTATCGAGGACAGCTTCTACAACATTAAGGCGAGTGTCGGTCTTTATGTTCTTCTTTTCAGAAGGGACAATCAGGCTGAAAGGGCCTCAATCCCATTTGAGAGGTGGATGGTCAATGAGGTAGCATGACATGACATGACTCTCTGGTAGTCGGGAGTACAACCACTCATGGTAGTCGGGAGTACTGCTCATGGTAGTCTGGAGTACAACCACTCATGGTAGTCGGGAGTACTGCTCATGGTAGTCGGGAGTACCAGCTCATTGATTCATGGTACTACCATTTTATTCATTAGTCCTCTGGAGTACCTCCACTACCCCTTCCAATTCCAGCAGAATGAGGAACATAGAAAACAGTACGGCGCTTGCGGAAATGGAGAGGACCGAAAGCGGCTGGAAACGTGGATCTGTGACCATCAGCTACACTATTAAGGATAGCCAACTACATCTGTGAACGAAAATCACACTTATAACAGAGTAGTTTATAGCACGCGTGGTGCATGGAGTAGCATGGAGCGCAGAGCTTTAAGGGGCGCAAGAAGCTCCCCCTTTAGCTCCATGCTACTCCATGTGATCCATGCTCTCCATGCCATGCGAGCTGTGAAACCTTACAAATTGCTCTGTTATAAATACTGAGCATGTCTGTGTTAGAAAGTCTTAGTATTTTTAGTGTCACTGATGTGAGTCAGAGTCTTACTCTTACTTAGTACTATTAATCTTTTGAGTAGTACTATGAGTTACTTGTTTAGTAGGTACTATGAGTCTTAGTTTATGAAACCATGACGCGCTACTGAGATACTGCTACTCCTGAGGTGTATATTTTAGTTGTACTTCTTCATCATCATCAGTTCAAAACCGCTCTTCTAATCTAGCGCCCTTCTGTCATCGCAAAACGCAACAGATATCGAATTCGAAGGCGAAGGTCTGCTTTTTTGAAACCGACGAAGCTGAGTGCAAGAGGTTGTCGTACTGCGAATGGGCTGGTATAGATATTAATCATCATGAATCGAATTCGAACCACCAGTGCCAGTAATAGGCTAGATTACCAAGTGAAGCTAGAAATTGCCAGGGAAACCAAATCTTAGGCAATCCGCTAGACAGATACAGATTCACATCGTCACTCATAATGAATATAGCTTGAAACACATCACAACAGCACACAATAACAAACCGGTTTGGCGATTTTGTGAGCACGAGTTCGCCATGAGATATCCGGCTTATGGAGGTCCCGTTTTTCATTCGCGGAGCTGTGTTTAAGACTCGTTGAAACAGTTCACATTTGAATTTGTAAACTCTATTTGACATGACTCTTCATTGATATATTTGCACACTCGATTATTTGACTGGTGCCGTATGTCTATCGGGGTCACAACGGAGCCAGGCAGTTGCTTGTAGCTGCTATGTGGCGCGACAGAATGAAGTAATAAGGAAACGTGTCAAAGACGTAGTAACGCAATAAAGATGATGTGCTTCGACTTTCGACATTCTCTAATGTGTGAAACAATGTGTGAACTTCTTCACGCGATGTCTGGGCGCCTCATCGAAAACTTAAGGCAGCTCGACGACTTTAGAGCAACTGTATTGTTAAAATGCAACTACATATCGCATTGCATCTCCAGGAACTGTTTCATCTCGACGCTGCTGGTTCAGAAGAATCATCTTCGATCTGGGAAGAATAATCTGAGATCGGATCGCAGCATCGATGTTCTTCTGAGAAATTTCAGAAATCCGATTTCTAAAAACCGTCAACTATGACAAGTAGTCAGGTTAGCACCAGCGGCATGCGTAACAGTTGCGGGTCCAAGGGCGAACTCTGTTATGAGTTGTAGTGCTCATGTTGATGTCAGCAGATCTATGTAAGTAGTAGATCTACAACTTCTGCATGAACTACTTGTACTAGAATTTGTAGATAAAAATGTTGATCACACCTTGCAAGGAGCACACCTTGCAAGATCCAGGAGCACACCTTGCAAGCACGATCCAAAAGAGTTGATCTCATGAGGAGACATGGAAAAAAGTGCAGAGAAGGAAAAGAGAGGGAGAAGAAAAATGCACAATAACCACCTAATTAACTTGACCTCTTGCCCGGCACATCAATCAATCAATCACGACCACCATTATAGCTACACCTCGTGGTCTGTCTCCTGCTTTAGCTTTGTGTCTCTAATAGAATTGGCAAGCGTTAGAAGATTTCACATGCTCAGGACCGGACGGCGCAGAAACTGACTGGGAGTTGGACGAGCGCCTTGCGAGATTCACCAAGAATTGTGCACGTACTTTCGTAATTCATACATTTTTAAGAGAATAGCTACAAGTACTGTTGAACGAAGAAGGAGCTCCACTCTGAGATCATCTTTTCCCCAGAAGTATTTTTGGTCAACAATCAAGACAAGATCAAGAGTTTTTGGCACAACTTTCTCTACATACATTTTGAATTAACCAGCGGTAGCGAAGGATCCGGTTCAGTGCATTTCTAGTGATTATTTTTTTTGAATCAACCGGCGACAGCGAAGGACCCGGTTCAGTGCAATTCTAGTGGAGCGTGGACCGGTCATCGAAGTTTCAGCCTGTTGTCTTTAAGGCTAGTTTTTCTCCTTCCCGTGTTTCATCTCACCAATGGGAAGAGTGAGAGGATAAAAATCATTTGAGGTGCACTGATGATGAGCGAGGGAGTATCTATGCTGAGTGGCGGCCCCCTTATTTTCAAGGAGGTATCAAGAGCTTGAATCAAGCAAGGGGTACGCAGGGCATCTCACTTGACAGTTAGGGGGTAGTGAAAAACTACTTCGCTAATGTCTTCGGCATTTGCAGCGTTGCTCACCGTCTACTACTCGCTGACAGGTGGAAGCCTCCTGCTGCTCTAGAGGTTTCAAGTAGTCAAGTGTTAAGGCTGTTACGCAGGATCATGTCAAACTTTTTCTGCCTAATAAATGTCTCAACATACCTTTTTCTACGTTCCTGACCAGGTTCATGTAAGCTTCAAGAAGATGTACTTCATCTATCTACTCTCTTTATTAGAAGGGGGTGAATTTGGATTTGGACTGTGATGGTGAACAACTCCTGCACCCCAATCAAGAACGGCACTTGTTGACACTTCATGTTGAGTCCCCTCACTCCGGACAACACCTCGCAAACAGGTCAAACTCTAACGCGTGTTTGTATACTACATGGTCGTCGTCGTCGTGGTTGGTTTCGGTGTTCATCCACTGGCGCCGTCGACGAGACTACGAGCGGGGGAAGAGGAAGAGCCACAGGTAGGACAGAGGGTTATATTATAGCTGATTTCTATGATCAATATCGTCGTTATCCCAGCGCCACTTCGAAGTACTAAAGTTGGAGGACTAACTTGTACTATTGTTCCACTGAAGATATTATTCGTCGCGCAAGACCAAGACCTGCAAGTACTTGACAGTTCCAAGAATAGCAGTGGGCAGATTGATTCTTGATTTTTGTACAGAACTAACAAGGAAGTAGAAAGATTTGTTATGATTAAGATGCGGTCGTGAACTCGTCTGATTTTCCGCCTGTTGGACGATTTTATTACGATGACTGAGATTAAGGAATTCCAGACAGCAGTTGTATGTAGTACCAGATGAGGCAAAAGATCTTGTTCATGATGATCAACAACAGGACACATTGTGATTATCGCTTTTAAATCATCCGACGCTTTTTTTTAGGGTTCGGAGCAAAATCTTCTGGAGGAAAGATCTACTTAGTAGAAGTTCAAGTCTTATTAGAGATACGAGACGAAGTCGAAAAATAGATTTCAGCTTACAAGAACAATTACCTTCTCCTTCTCGATGTTTTATCTACAATTACAAACAACAAACAAAAAACATCAGCAACAGTTTCCGTACTTCTTGTGCACAGGATCCGAGGGAACAATTTCAGCTTTTTGTGGCCCTCGTGAATCGTGTTTTGATGAAGTTTTTAGACCTGAAAGATCTTCCCGTTCCCGATAGTATCATCGTCGTGTGCAATCAATATCCATCATCGGAAGCAGCACATCAGGGAGGTCAGCCTGTGCCCATGGCTATCGCTAGGACTTCTTGGGCATAGAAAATCGGGCCAGGCTTCTTGGACTTTGAAAAAATGGTTCAATATGATGAAGAAGTAGAAGGGTGCATGGTGTATGACAATAGCTGTTACAGCGAGCATGTCATGAGTCTTCACCAACTGTACTAATCTCTGAAACTACTACAACAGTTGTCTCTGCTGTTTGAAAAAGCCAACCAAGAAATATCGATGTACTAGTAGAAGCAGTACAACTCTTCTAGTCGGATCATAGTATAGAACTTCTATCTCTATGCAGCTAGCTGTCTGAAGTGAGGATGTTCAATATAACAGTGGGAGGTTCTTGTCTATTTAGAGCGAGTGAAAGCGCGCGTCTGAGCGACTGAGTGTGACTGTGAACCTGTTGCCTGAAAGCCAAGAACCTTGGAAGGTATTACAGGTACTTGTAAAATTGGTGGATGAGAGAACCAACATCCTGCCTCAGGTTCTCCGTTTTCTCATCCAGGAAGAGGATGAGAGGTGGTAGTGCCAAAAGCTCTCCTCGCGAATCTGTTGCATCACACGAAAGCCCTTGTTCTTGTCAACTCTGCCGGCAGAAAATAGACTATTCCAAACCGATCCCGCCGAAACACAAAAAGAAGCAAACTGAAACTTCATTAAGAATCACTCAAATGAGAAAGCAGTCGGATTGGCTCTCGGCCAAAAGAAAAGTGAAGCAAAGTGTACGTGTAGGAAGTATCATTGAAATGAGATCGATTGGCTCTCGGCGACAACAATTTTCAAACCAGCATGGTAAGATGGGTCGTGAAGGGTATTCACGAAAAGTGAGCTTCCATGTGCTGAAAGCAGGTACCTAGTTCAAAAGGACCTCCGCATTGATATGATCAGAAGATCTTCAAAATCTGAACGGTCTAAAGAAAAACCATATTAACTTCCAAAATAATGCCTCTGCCTCTCCAGCCATCTCCTTTCTCCGCACTGGAGTGCGCGATCTCGAGTGTTTTGGATCGCTGGGACTTTGCTGGTGGACCTCCTGACGAAAAAACCGAAAAAAAAGCGGAGGACAGCCTCGAAGACGACGAGCTACTCTCTGAAGGAGCAGCCGACGCCTTAATGGAGAATCATCTTCAGTTCGCTGACGCCCTACGAGAAATCGCAGATGAGGAAGATCCATCAGCTCTGGCCTCCTCTTCAGGCTGTGAGGATCCTGCATGTGACTCGGAAAATCTTTTTTCTTGTGAGGACCAGGCAGACGACGACGAGCGTGAGCAGCTTTTTCCGAAAAGTGCTATGAATAGCGGTAAAGACGACAGCGAAGGAGTTGATGATGGGCCACACGCATCGTGTTCCTCTACTTCTAGTTTAGTTTCATCACCTCTGGCTGCATCGAACGATGGTGATGCTGGCCTTGACAATTTCCGGGTGGCCTCATCTTCAGATAGTAGAAAGGATCATGATGAGGAACAACTTCTACACGATTACGAGGACAACATCAACGAATGGGAACAGGCAGCTGTTGAGGATAATGACCAATCCACCCTCCAACCGCAACTACTGCGTGGTGGGCCAGCTTTTCTATTCTCCACGCACGAGGAGGGTGCTACTAGCGTATCCTCTTTCGGAGGTCGACAACATGATCTCCCTGACGTCGATGGGGAGTATGAAGTAGTACCAAAACCAAATGATTATAGAGGAACAAGTTGTAGGAGCAGCACTACAACTTCTACTACTAGAGGAAGAACGATATACGATGGTGCGGGAGAAGGGGATAAAGTAGTAGGAGGAGTGCTAGATGTCGACAGCATCTGCAAGAAAGCAGAACGGATCTACTCAGAAGCAATGAAAATAGGAGAAGACGTAGACGATGTGGAAGCGGAGTGGTCTGATATCGTTAAGGGTAGGCTAGTGCAGGTGGTCTTGTTACCGTTTGCTATGTCTCTCCTAGTACGGGAGACAGGCATAACAAACGGGACGACACAGAAACACCAAAAGGCTACCTCTAGTATCGGGCTGGTTCCTGAAGTAGGTGAAGCAGCAAGAGGAGCTTCTTCGTCCTCTTCGACAGCACGACGGGACTTCTACCCAAAACGCCTCAACGCAGCTGCTGCTCTCTCAGGAACAAGTCAACGCACATTCCTTTTCGGCCCAGCTGAGAGCAAGCAGGAGGAAAGACATCGACCAGTTTTTTCGCTAAAGGATCTGCGCGACCATCCAGATTGGGCGTCGGAACCTGCAGCCTTTAGTCTAGACTTGGTCCAAGAGGATCTGGAGAAAATACAGAAGCAGGCGAGACTAAAATTTGCTGAATATGTTACGGCAACATACTTGATTGTGGAATAATTTGAAGATGTATTGTAAGATAAGACTTTTGACTATCTGAGGTTCACAAGAGTATTGTCGAATGCAGCTCGCCAGAAGATGTCGCTCTTGTTCCTCGTCTGCCATTATTGTGAATACCTGAGCAACAAGCCCCATGCCCATGGGATGAAGAAAATCAAAAACGACAGTATCTCCGTCGCTTCACCTTATAATCTTGCTTTCTCAATGACTGATAACCCGTCATCATCTGCTAATCTCTATCAGCAGAGAGTCGTGCTGAAGGATGAGCTGCGGCTAGTCGGGGACGAACTCGCGGCTGGTTATCGGGCAAGCGCCACCAGAATCCGGATGGGCATTGACGCTGAGATCAATGAAACCTCTGCTGTTGCGAGATTTCTCCGGTGTATCCTCAATTTATGGTCGTGGAAAAGTTTCTGCATCTGCAATTCGCATTTATACAGTACTTAGTCTTAGTACTAGTACTAGTTTCGAACTACAATTGATTTTAAGATAAACCTTTGGGAAACCTTTCCCACCAACAAGTTGTAGCGACCCACCTCAAATGAAGAATCAAAAGATGAACGTGGCGTCCCCAGAGACTAGTTTCTTTCATAGATCAACGGACCACTGGGCCCACCAGAGGAGCAAAGTATCTATTACCTCGGTCCAAACTCCCTCGGCTTGGCTGAAGACGATACAAGTGCAGCCAGACTCAACTTATGACGACTCCCCAGAGTAAAGAATAGTTGACCAACATGAAGAACTGAGAACGCGACGAAGCAATGTTGAACGAAGGAGGTTCATATAATCTCATTTTTATCATCCACACACTCACACCGTGATGAAGGTGAAAATTTGATATACATAGAAGAACACTATGTCGCTGTCGGTGCTGAGCTCTCTTACGGACATGACGCGCCATTGCTTCTACCCTTCCTGTTGACCCTCTGTCCTTCTCCTCTCATATTTGGACTTCACTCCACCGGAAGAACCGGTGGCGGAGCTTCCCAAGGAGGCTCGGAATGCAGCTTTGAGCCTTGCTTCTCGCGTGCACGATTACTGGAAGGCGCTGAGTGAGAAGCTGCGGGTGCTTTTATGTTGCGTCGATAATACTCTTTCTGTAGTTGTTGTTGAAACTGAACAAACTATCTGAGTCCTAGTAAAAATGATCTTTCTGTTGACTCCTGCTTTGTGCCCGTAGGAAGGTCAGGTTGCAAATTATGCAAGGGAGCAAGCCATATGCCCGGTTCTCCCCTTGTCCTTCCGGTCTCTTCTTCATGTCCCAGCCTGATGCAAAGTGTTTCCGACAATTTGTTAGAGACGGAGAAGGAGCTTGCTGTGGCCACCGTTGATCAAAGCGACCTTCAAATCGTGCTGCATTCGGAAGAGCTTCATTCCTATCCAGCGTCCGTCTACGAAGATCCCCATAAACTTGGGAAGAAAACTGGAGGATTATGACAAAAGGCTTGTTAGAAATATAATTCTTCTAGGTGGTAGTTTTTTGACTTCACGGAGGAAGTACTAGAAGGTACTTTGCTCTTGGATTAAATAGAAGGAGGAGGAGACAGGGACAAGTTTGTTATCCCCACTGCAGCACACGGATCATGAACCTGGCCCTGTACCTTTTGTAGTCCTTCTATAATCCTCTGTACCTTTTGTAGTCCTTCTATAATTATCTGTACCTTTTGTAGTCCTTCTATAATCCTCAGCAATAAGCAGTACCAGGAATTGCTGGAGACAAAGGCGAATTTGAGTGGCGGCAACCTGGCATTCCGTCGATCCGAGTTCCTGAAGGCAGCCGACAAAAGGGAAAGATACAAGAAAAAGCTGTCTTTGCTCGGTGAAAGCGAAAGCGACCTGGGAGACCTTCTTCAGTACGTCTCCAGCAATGCACCGCGTGAGCCTTCGCTCCTCTACAAGCCGTTCGATCCGACCAGCGATGTGGAGAATTTCTATGGACTGAGCGCAGGAGACGCCTAAACAAGTCAGAATTGACAGCACCGCATGTTCTCCAGCATTGGTCAACGCTTGTGACTGTTCCTTCGATCGCTGATCAACGCGAGTGATTCCTTCTCCAAATTCATCTTCATCTCCCTCTATAATACCCGTCCTCTCCCTCCTTGTTTAATACTCCGCTTTTCGTTTTTCCTTTTCTTGTGTCTGCCTGAGCAACCTGCTCAACAAGAAAAGATCATGGGTTTTGGAAGAACAACGATTCAATTATATTATACTTTTCTTTCATATCCCTCTAGAGCGGTACATGTACGAAGCAGATCGAGCCAGAGCAGCCCACGAACTTCGGTTGATGCGCCACAAGGCAGATCTCCTGCAAAGAATCCTCGAGGTCCAGGACAGCATGCGAAGGGAGAGCACGTCTCAACTCTGCGCCGTGACTGAGTCTCTGAAGACGGTGAAAGAGTAAGGCTGCAAATGACCACCAAGTATATCGTCAGGTTAAGCTAACAAGAGAGCAACAGTCAGACTAATTGTTCAAAAATGGTATCTATCATTCGAGAGGATACTTGTTGATAGTTACCCTTTTCTCTTTTATATCTTCCTCTGGTCTGTCTTTTTTCTAGTTAGGTCGGCTCCACCACAATCTATCATTAGAGAGGAAAGCCGAAAGCGAAAGCGTGCCCCTAGAGAAAAAGATGGAGAAGATTAGAGTCCGAGGCATCTTAATGATCAAAAAGTAAATATTGTTGTTGATCCACTCCTTCCTCCCTGTTTCATTCCTGACTCGTGATGACGAACCGGGATATCAAGTTCGTGGATGGCGGCGGCACCTACACGCGCACGTTGTTGAAGGATGTGGATCAGGGGAACGTGCAGGGAATCCGCTTAGTCGGTGGCGCGATGCAGGGAGGGATGGGACGCGTAGCGCAGTTCGAAGATCCATCTACTAACATTAGGACTCTTCAGATACAGATTAGTAACCCAGTCATCTTCACAGGTTTCTTTGAAGGACCTGTTGAGAATCAGAATCTCTCAATACGCTATTATAAATCATGATCGATGGAAAGTTGTTCTTGTTCCTGTGAGCTGTTCTAATAGAATGGCTGTTAGAGCGGGGGGTAAGTCGGCGGATTACACCGCTGGATCCGTATTTTACGACCCCTATACCAGATACGACAAGAGAATGGGAAGAAAGTACTAGTACATTATCGGACTATATCGGATTTTTTGTCTACTTCTCTGTCTTAGCAAGCTAGGTCCCGCGGTAATATCCGACTATATCAAGCAATTCAGGCTCTTATACAATTTGTAATGTTGATATTTTTGCATCTTCGGTTCTTTCATGTACAAGAAACTCCACCTCTACTACTAACTTTCAGATTACCACACGCGATTCAGCCTACAGTTCGATTTGGTCATGCAATGCCACCCACGTCGATAGGGAATAGTCTCCGCCATCTGAATACAGTGAGTGCAGTGAGAAGGAAATTATGTTGGGACTTTTTTTTAGCATTTTCCATACCCATACCCATTCATAAAATACTGGAGTTAGTGCTAATCTCTGTTGAAATGGACACGCATGGAGTAGCATGGAGTGCATGGAGCGCAGAGGACCCATTAAGGGGCGCAAGAAGCTCCCCCTTTAGCTCCATGCTACTCCATGTGATCCATGCACTCCATGCTACTCCATGCGTGTCCATTTCAACAGAGATTAGAAGATGACAACGCGGACCCGACATTCTTCTAATCTCTGTTGAAATGGACACCCTGCTAGACCGATTCTATGATAATCGACTGAGGGAGCGCAAGCGGACTGGTCTCCTCTCCGAAATCGAAATTCATATTGACGTTTGCCTCACCGAATTATCACAACTAGAGGAGGTTTATAACCGGTAACTACATTTATTTCATTTTGATATTATGCTGATGAAAGAAGAATGAGAAACGAGGAAGATTAATGCTGAAAGGACACAAATTCAAATGAAAAATTAGCAGTGGAGTAGCTTCTAGTACTAGGGTCATCTTCTACAACTTGCGCAACTTTTACCTTGTCCAGGTTAGCATTGAAAATCGACATGGTTGAGGAGGAAGTCTATCGCTTGGAGGTTGGGAACTCCGCTGAGCGGTCCGCAACGGAGCGCAAGTACCTTTATGTTATAATGGCGCTAAGTCAACTAAGAACTGCACAAAAACGGCCACTATTGTCGCCTCCTCGTCCTGGAAGTGCTCCGCTTAGCGGCTTTTGCAACTTGCTTCCTCTTGGTTTTTCTGTCTTTTGGTTTCGTTTCATGTGATTCCCCGCGCCCCTCCAGAGTCCACCGCACCAGCCTGCAAATGTATGCTGGGGGATTCTGGAGGGGCGCGGGGATTTGGAGGGCGCCCGAGGTTCTTGGCTCGCAATTGGGTGAGGGTTTTCCAGAAGGGAGCGCAGTAGGCGGCGAGTGTTCTGCGGATTCGTATCATGCCCGAGAAGATTGAATTTTGTCCGGATTTTTGCAGTCCTTCGTTGAATTTTCTCCAATGTATTAAATCAACCACAACCGTTAGCTACGACAACGTCACCGACGTGAGCGTGGAGTTTGTCTACCCTCGTCTTATTTTGAAACTGAAGATTTTTATGGTCTGCACTGAAAGTCAGAGAGACAACTGCTCTCACAGCAAACGTTGTTTCCTCTCCCCGAATAGAAGAAACGTTGACGGTCCCCAGAAGTCTGACTGACTCTCAATACCTGGGCATAGTCGAAGTGTGCTATATGAATGGATGCTATATTATGACTATTTCGAGCTGATGCCATGGCTTGGGCTTGTAAAGACTGCCTCTGTAGTAGAGATAAGTTGTCTGTTGTAATGAAAATGTTGAAAGAAGAGAGAAGGAAATACAAATAAATGATTTTTGTTCGGTTTTCAAAAGATTATCGGGCGAGAGAGTTGACGACGCTGAGCAAATGCATAGACAAAATCAAAAAGGACGAAAAGACTAAAATTGATAACTGTGAGGCGATACACAACAACAGCGCGGCCTGGAATAGGCAGCTCCGACAACCAGAAATTTATGAAGACGAATCATGTAGCTCTACTTGTAGAAAACAACCGGAGATCCGCGTTTATTGGCTTTATCTCTGATGTGTTTTTCGGGAAGTCTTATGTCTATCATTCATGTTCTTTCGTGATGTGCTTGAACACGTACGACTGTTGCTTGGTGTACCTTAGAAATTAGGGCTCTGCTTCTGCATAGAGGATGAGTTACAGTACTCTTTACATCAAGGACCGCGGCGTTGTTGATATCCTACCCAGGTAGAAAAAAAGGGAAAGAATCAAATAGAAGTATGCAGCTCAGTTCTCAGAATGTGTCAACTAGGTAATGGACCGCTTCGCTCGCTGACGAAATACGCTACTTTCTCGGAATTCAAAGCGTACGCCGCGCAGCTGGGTTTCAAGTCCAGTAGAGAGTGTCGAAGATGGTCGGCCAGTTCGGGTCGGCCGCGATACATTCCGTCAACGCCGAACAAATTCTACAGAAAATCGGGTTGGATCTTACACATGGATGCGCTTGGTTATATCAATGGCCGGTTCCCGAGGAACCGCGACCGCCCATGGACGACTTGAACATTTACCGCGGCCGACAATGCATCAATTCTGAAGTGGCGCTAGCCTGGGTTCGGAAGCTCATCGTGGATCTCGGTGACAAATGCCAGTTGTATATGCTTCCGCGTTTTGGGCGCGGCAGCTTTCTAATTCGCGCTTGCGAAAGTGGTGTTGATGCTGAGGATGTCAACTCGTCATGTGACGCCGCGGTTTCGCCGTCGGAGTGGCGAGCAATACAGGTGAAGAGTGCAGTTGAAGTTGTGCGTGATCGAAAAGGTGGAAACCGATACCTTTTCACGTCATGAAACTTTCGTTCGGATATCGGTATCGCAGTTGTCAACTCGAAACTCGAAGAGGTGGACTTTTGCCATATCTCGGAACTACCTGTCACGGATGCGAGCGCTCCGCAGCAATGGTTTTATCTGCCAGAAATGCGGACGGTTAGCAGTGGCCCTGGACGGGAACGAGCGCGGAAGTAGCTACGGGATCTGCTAGAGAGAATGCCCACGAAGCCCCTGGGCGAGTGGCTCAGCGACGTCGCTACTGCAAGGGATTATCAGCTGCATGTTAAACTTATGACGCAGGCGGTGTCCAACTTCTTTGAGCCTGCTCCATCTCTGTCGTTGGAACAAGTCAACACTTTCACGAATCTACACGAAGGGCTCCTGGCTGGCAAGCGCGTACTATTTCGCTCTGTCCGAGTCGACAGTAGGCGGCAAACGGGCAAGGTTAATTTGGAGCGACATCGTCACATCAACGGGAAAAGATATTCATCAGTGCCGTTCGATGCATCGGACTGTATCGATCTCTACATTGTCATGCTATACAACTTCGCCGAAAAAAGTACTTTGGCAGGATTGTTTGTCTTCCCGCGACAATTTGTCGTGGGAGAAGACGTCCTTATAGTCAATTTTCGCGGTGGGCGACGAGGGTATTCATTATATTTGCCCGGTCATAATGTCGAAACGGATATAATGGGTAGGGCACGTGCGAAGAGGCAGGCGCCGTACTACTTCTCTCTGACTAATGGGGACGTACCTTCCACCACAAACCGCTTACCAATGCAAGAGTGTATAGATGCAGCTTTTGCAACCGGTGATCATGGAGCCGGTGCAAGTGGCTGTAACGATTCAGAGACTTCACACTTCCACAAAGCGGGTTCCACGAAGTCTATTCTCTTTTATCAAAGGTTCCACTTCCAGGCGCTCGTTGTACCTCACTGTGTATGTGACTTTGTGCCGACTTGTGATCATATACATATGATGTCTACAACATGATGAATGCTGAAGAGGCAGAGTCACCATGTGTAGGGACGGAGCAACGGCATCCTATCCTATGATCTTATCCTATGATCTTATCCTATGATCTTATCCTATAACAGTTTATGACACGAATGGCGGTTGGCACGGTTGGCACGAGTGACACGGTTGGAACAACCCAACGAAGCCAAAAAGTGCCACGAGTGGCGCGGTTGGCGTTGGCACAAGCGGACAGGGATAGGGATGCGAAGGGCTGCAATTCTACGGAAAGCCCCCCTGCCATTTTGAAAATGGTAAGGGAGCTAGCCAGAAACAAAGCCGGCCTGGCTGCTCTCTAAAGGGTGCGGACCCTAGT